GTGAGAGCCAGATGGTTGCGACCTGGAGAACCCCTTCAAAATGGAAGTTGCCTCTTTGGCCATTTTGGCCCTAAGGGGGTCGCCAACCAAACCGAGCATCAGGCGTTGCAAGTGACCAGACTCGAGAGAGGCTTGTCTTGCCTTGACTTCGTCTAGCGCTGCCGCATATTCTTCGGCCTTATCGTGGGCTTGCGTCCTCGCTAGGCGTACCAATGATTCCAGCAACTCTAGTGCTTCATGACGATCAAAAAGAGACGGAGGCCTGTTTAAATGCCTTGTGAGGGCTGTTAGCGCAACTTGCAACAGCCTTCTCCTGCTCCAAGAGCCTAACCTTTTCCTCCAGCTGTCGGAGTCGCTCATCCAGCTAGATAAAACGAGGGAAACAAAAAAGGAGGGGCAATAAACACGAGAACCTCAACGCAAAACGCATGTGCAAACCTATAACTCCCTGCCGGCTCTCCAGGCTACGCCAGTAGAAAGTCGAACTTAAACAGAACTATATTACAGCTCTCCAGGCCACTGGATTTCCCGTCCGCACCAGTATAAGTGGTGCAGACTCATGTTAAACTCATGTTAAACTCATGTTAAACAGCTCCCCAGGCTGCTGGCTCTCCGGGCCACACTGGCATAAACTCATATTTTAACAAAATCATGAAGCGGCTCCCCAGGCCACTGGCTCTCCGGGCCACACTGGCATAAACTCATATTTTAACAAAATCATGAAGCGGCTCTCCAGGCCGCTGGCCCTCTAGGCCACACTGGCATAAACTCATAGTCTAAAGTCACGGCTCTCCAGACCGCTGGCTCTTAAGGCCACGCTAGCATAGCTAATATTTTAACAAAATTATGTGACGGCTCTCCAGGCCGCAGGTAGCGCACGAGCGGGAACGTCTAAAGGCTCCACAACTGGTGCAGGAGCTGCTGGATTCGGGGCTGCTGGCGCAGCAGCAGGCGGCGGAGGCAAAGCCGGTTCTTCGTGGTCAGCCATAGAAAAACGAAGCTGGTGGCGGTTGTTCAGCTCGAAGAAACTTATTAAAACGCCACTTTTACCGAACTCCGTAGAACTGGCCAGGAAGCGGCTAAAACCGAGCTATTTGAAGCGAGGGCCGCAAGGCATTATGCGCAGTAGCACGCAGGCCCGGCAGGACGGAATTTATGTATGCAGTGAGAATAGTGAATATCCTGCACTATTCACTGATTCACCTCCAGTTCCTCCGAACGAGCGACGCCAATAAATGCGAACTCGCGTAAGTTGCGAGCAAACAAACAAAGAAATTTCACAACTAATCAAGCAAGCTGTTTCCGAAATACACGCAGAAGGTGAGGAAGTTCGGATTGGAAGTTTTAACAGGTAAAGCTTTGTCTTTTTGACACGAATTTATCGATAAAACCGGTGAAAAAGTTTTTTGTTTACAAATGCAAATTAAGTGTAAGTCTTGCGTTACTTTATTTAGTTGAGTTGTTCATAAATAAGCTTAAAACTAAATGTAATAATCTTTTTTATAGAATGATTTTAAATACAAAAAGAATTCACAACTCCTTTTGAAGAAATTTCCCCACAAGAGCTAAACAAATGCCTTCAAAAGTTTTAATTGTCGGCAAGAAAAGGCGACGCCCGCGGCCGCCCGGTCATATACGCGCCAAAATAGTAATTGTTGGCAACAGTATTTGAGTTAAAAATCACCATTTTTGTGCTCAATTATCTCACTGTTTTAGTATATACTAAAACAATTATTCACCTCAGTGTCGGTGGCTAGTCGTGGATATTTACCTCACTGCTTCGCAGTTCGGTTAATATTTCCACGACTAGCCACTTCCACTTCGGTGAATAATTGTTATATATTTTTGGACTTTTATAGATTATAGCGCTTGAAAAGTCTGCTTACAGTTCTTTGCAGTGGCCAAGTCATGATGAAAACTAAGTTGATAACGCCACAGTCATACCATTCTCTGTTTCTATTATGGAATGTGCTTTAAAAGGAGGTGCGCCCTAACTTTGCGCATAGCCATCTCGGTTGGAAAATAGGCAAAATGAAAATCGCCTTTTGGCTTTGACTAAAGATCATAGCGTTCAAAAGTTGAATAGTCTTTCAAGCTTTCAACTTCGTCCTAGCGAAAACGTTCGAAATCGATCTTTGAATCTCGCTACTTCCTTGATCTCGAGGAGCTGCCTTCTAGCAGCTACTAGAACAAAACTCAGGAATGTTGTAATTAAGCAATTGTAGCAATTAATTTCGGCCCCTGTTGACTGGCCTGAACATAAGTTGGGGGACTCGGGCCCCTGGGCCACTCCCATAAATCCGAAACAGTTTCTATATGATTGTTCATGAAACGAAAACAAAACATTCACACCAACAACTTCCCAACACCGCGTTTTTATTCATTTCTGTCTCAGGTTTCCCTTAACTAAACAAATTTAATGACAGATGCCAACCAAAGTAATGCTTCATTTAGTATAATAATTAGCGTCTCTTGAAGGAATTTAGCCTAATCAATAGCACAGAAGGAGTTGACTAATAATCTTTGATCAGTTACCACCTCAAACTAGTGTCTTCTGACACAGTATCACCGGGGCATCAGTTACATGACTTCCCAGTTCACAGGAGAAGTCATTCCACTTTTTCCCCAATCGGTGGTTCCCATACATTTGAACACAATTTTCGGAACCGCCGGCATTATTTGGTTCTCCGCCAGCCCAGATCGAGTAGCTTCGATCTACTGGAGTGTTGTCAATCCAATAGAATTTTCCGTCGGCCTTTCGTTGGATTCCGATCCATGCACCCCATTTTGTGAATGTTTTTTGGCTTTGTATCAAGCTGAAAATGAAGTTGTTTTGATTTTCTGACTTGATTATGGCCAGATCTCCCCCCAGATTTTGACAGTGTTGGCGAGCATCGCTCTGTTTCAATGTCGGGGTATCTTTGACGTAATAACACGAGGATCCATTATTAACCCATCCGGCTGGACAGTTTGACTCCTCTACAAAGAACAAATTAATACAGCAACCTGTTACAGTGGACCCTTTCCCTTGGGACACCTTTATTTAAGAGACACCTCCATTCAGGGGACACAAAATTTGGTTCCGGAGAAAAATGCACACATAATCTTTGTATCTGTTACCGCTATTGAAGGGGCCCCTCTAATCAGGGGAAAGGAACACTCTTTCTGGGTCCGGAAACCTGGCTTTTTAACCTCCATTTAGGAGGTAAAAAAAACTTTGATAAATTGGAGGGTACACTAGTCACAATGACCACAGCTTTCATGAACTATCTCACTAAAATCGATGTACTGCTTTTGTGGGGATTCAACACAAAATGTCGCAGAGATAAGTTAATCACGATTTTTATACATTGATGTAGCTGTTTGAATTACCGTGTGGCCCGAAATTTTTGCGGGAGTTTATTTTTGCGGATTGGTGATTTTTTGTGTTTTGCGGGAACTAATTTTTACGATAAGGACAGATTGGTTTTTCTTGCTGAGAATTAATTTTTGCGATTTTCGGAAAGTACCCAGTACCCGGCATTGATAGCATTTCTAGTATAGACTAGTAAAACCAGTATTTCATTGACAATGTATAAGAGACAAGTTGCAATTGATGTCCAATATGTGTGCATTTTCAGTTTTCCTGTGCTCCTAAACTAGCTAGAAAGTATGAGATTGACCATTGATCGCGACCTTGTAAATCAATTAACTGGTCAGCGAACAGCTTCCAAATAAATCATGTCACCTCAATGAGTTGACACATGAGCCCGCGATATGGTAATACGATACTGGTCAGTGGCTATCCTGTTTTGACAGCTATCAATTGACCATATTGTGAATGTCCAAAATAAAAGATGCGGATTTGCCAAGACACGCCTGAGACACCCCTCCCTTCCTTTTGATAGTCTCCCCTACACTACCCGTACAATCTGTAGACGCGTACGTACGCTCGGTCAATCAAGTGAAAACCAAACGAAAAGAGGTTGACCATATTCTGTGAGTATGGGGTTCTGTCCCACTCACGCTTCGCGCGCGTAGGAGCCCCGCTATAACGTGACTAATTTGACCTAACCGGAAATTCCAATATATACATGTTTTTGACGTGGTGATCTACAATGAGCACATTCCTTTCCTGTAAGAATCGCAATAAGATCAAAGAGACATGGCCGTCACATTTTAAACCGAAAAAAAGTGCCATTGATAGCTGTAGAGACGTCTTTAGTCAATGGATGTAACACACGCACTGTAGCTACACACCGCAGACAGATTTGCAATCACGTTTTGGAAGGGAATAAACTCATCAAAAGGTATAAACTTGAACAAAAAGTGAAGAAAAACCACAAAAGGTACTCATCATGGCATCTTTTGAAGGAGACGATGAAAAAGCTTAGTACGCTAGCTTCAAACACATCTTCATTTTTATGATGGCTGCCTTTGCTTAACATGATTTATAGTTACCAAGTTAATTTTAATAGCGTTTATCACCATAACAACGAAAATCCCTAGGAGGAGTACTCTCTTATTTGCCTTATAGGTATTGATCTGAAATAAGGTCTAGGGTCAGGATTTGGAGAGCCGGAAAACACATCCCCCACCCTGGATACCCCTCGGATTTGTCAGTTAATAATATGATTGCGTTCATTGTGTGAACAAAAAATCCCGGAGGGGTAATCCCTTACATTTGCCTAATAGGTATTGGCTGAAATAAGGTCTAGGGCAGTCTAGGGTCAGGATTTGAAGAGTAGGACGGCACACCCCCACGCGAATTGCTAGAAATACCACTCCGGTAGCTTTATCAGACAATAATGAACATATGGTAATGAAGCAAAATGTAATCAAGGATTCGCCTAAAGCTGACCATAGACCAACAATGCAAAAATGGCTGCTAGATTAATATTCTTTTGTTTAAATTAAAATTAGCCTGACTAGCCTCGTTCTCCAGTACAAAATTCAAAAGAATACATTATCTCAAGCTCGGCTAGTCAGGCTAATTTTAATTTAAACAAAAGAATATTAATCCATGCAGGCTTTAGTTTGTGATTTACCGATGATCCCAGGGTAACTAACATTTCATCCTTCAGGCATAAATTTAGGGGACTCGGGCAAAAGAAAGGAGGAACAAACTGAGACGTTAACAACTGGTAGAAGTTTTCTTTGATGGTGGCCTGGACGTTGGAATTATGCGGATCTCCATCATAGTAATGATATTGCAGGTTCGACAACTTTATCGATGAAGGATTCACCCCAGCTGCATTAAGAAAAAAAACAAGGAAAAAAAATGAGAAAATCCTTATATTAAGCGGATCCAGTTGATCATTCAAATCCAGCATTGTTTTAATTGAGCGTCATCCTGGCTTTTATATGATCTTACTGGTTAGTTCAATTTGTCAGTTACCGTTTCTTATTACATTATCACGAATAATGTACATATATATATCTGTCACTCAAAAAGGTAAACTGTTTTTGTTGCTGGCACAGTATTGGATAGTACTGATGAAGAGATGGACCCACTAGATAAAAAAAAAAGCACCGCGAGTGCTAGTTTTCATCCGGTCCTACTTGTTGAAAGGCGTCGTTCGGTAAATAATTTGTGTTTAAGCAAAGCTGTTTACTACAAATTTTCTAGAATTGAAATTCTTAAAATGATTTTGATGAAGGTTTTGCTCTTAAAAAATTCAACTTAGTTGATTAGTTTCTTGATCAGTTAACTAAATCGGACGTATCTTTAAGCTTTATCTCTTTTTCAATACGATATTAAGATATGTGTATCTGATCATCAAAATGGGGAACCCCTATTGGCTAATAGCCTTCTAAATAATTAATGAACCTTTAAAATATATCCAAAGCACTCAAAACGAAAAAAGGGAAGGTTATTAAGAGCACTAACCAGAACAGTTTGGCCAGGGTAAAGATGGAACAGAAGAGAGCATCCCAAGGTAAACCCAAATTCCAGCTGAACAAAAGTAGAGCAAAGGCGTGTCAGAGTTGAAGTCGGTGCCAGTAGGACACATAACTGCACAAATTTGATCAGCATTTTTTTGTTTGGTGCAGACCAGGGCACCACCTTGGGGTGGCGAATAAAAAGGACACTGTTTTTCTATAAAGGAAACAATCGCAACATAACTTTCATCAATGAATATTTAACCTGTGTTAGTTTACAGGGTAGAAATAAAAGTGACACCGTAAACTCAGCCAGGATAATGGTAGTGAAACAATTGACCGGGCCGATGCCAATTTTTCTTCTTTTGGAAAGGTACAGTCTAAATTAGCAGTGTCAACTCGTTAATCTCGGCCTTTCTTTAAAATATTCCTATTTCATAGTTTTCCAAGTAGTTAAAGATGCTTGTCTCCTTTCATGCTGTCCATCCAACTGACGTCAAGAAGCTTTGCGTCGCATATCGTGCCCTTTTTTCACTTGATTAGAACATGGCGAATTGTCAGAGAATAGGATTCGTTCAGCATACACCCTCTCCTTCTCATCCTTCTCATCATCTTTTCCTGTCGAACGCACTTCTCGAATTTGTAATAAATAGTTAACTAAGCAAGTGCATGATGGAAAGGACAAATACTACGGATAGATTTGTTTTAAATGTTGTGTAGAGCGAACACATAATTACTTATGATTGCGTTAAAATATCTGTAGCAACTTACTTTTCAACGTTATCCTGAATGTACAGTTCTTGTTCGTGTTTCCAGAACTGTCAGATGCGGTATATACAATTTCGTAGGAACCAGGAACGCTGAATTCATCTCCATTTTGTCTGTTTGAGATAATTGTCGGTAGGTCGCCTGAATTGTCGGTGAAAGTTGCCCGCTGCCAGTTTACTCTGATCCGATCGCCTTGTATCTCTTCTATCGTAATGTCTTCAGGGCAATAGGTCAAAGTTGGTGGTTCAATATCTGTGGTGAGATAGCATTGTAGAAGATAATACATTGTACATAGATTTAGCCAGGGCTAAAAGCGAAGCTCTTTTTGATATTAATAGTTTCCTTAAAGAAAATATAAAATCGAGTAATGCTGAAGACAAGGTGAAGACAACGGGAACGGTTAAAACCAAATAGAGCTAATTAGGCGATCAAAAAAAAACAACAACAACAACTTTGCACGTGCAGCACTCGTTTTTTCTATTTGGTAAAAAAAAAAACCTACTTTGCACGTGCAGCACCCTTTTTTGTACATTACCAACCCGTTGTTTTGCACGACTGAAACGTGAAACTTCTTTTAACTTCTAACCCTACCCTTTTCTTCAATTACATCAACCGTCAACACCCTAATATACACTTTACAATGGAGCGGGAAACTGACCATGTTCTACCTTTCCTAGATGTTCTAATTAACAACAACGACCCACACCTAAGTGTGACCACCGTTTACCTGAAAAAAGCTTTCATAAGTTTGTTCACCAGTTACCTGAGTTTCATCCCCTTTACCTAAAAATTGGAGTTAACCAAAACCTTGATTGATAGAACCTTTAAGATAAACAACACTTGGATGGTGTTCCACGCTGATCTCCAAAAATTGTGTGTCATTTTAAGGAGGAATCTCTTCCCTGAGTCTTTCCCTGAGAACCTTATAAACAAATATATTTCTAGATATATTCAGACAGTTGTCAAGAGAGGGAAAACACAACCTCATTCAGGAGTCGAGCCCCAGGAAACACCTAAGTTTTATTTTAAAATCCCTTATGTTGGGCATTTCTCAGTCACGGCACAGAGATCATAGAAGTATCCGCAATCAATTATCATCGATTATCATGCAATTATGTAAACTCGTCAATGTCAACATGTGTAAACTGTAATGTAATGTAAACTCATCAGTCAACTCATTAGGGCCATTTATACGAGGAAAAATAAGACGCATCTTACATGGGATGCGTCTTAAGTAAGACGCGAACTTTCCGTATAAACGACACATTTCGTCTAAAATAAGACGCGGCTTAGCTAAGACGCGTCGTATTTTAGAACAGCCCCTAACACCTGTTCTTAGATGATACGCGTCTTAGCTAAGACGAGAAAAACTTCGTATAAATGACCTTCGCGTTCTTACATAAGACGCGAACGCATAGTACGCATGCGTTAATTTTTGGCGCCACGTTGGATCGCGTTGCTACGGGCAACATTCACATGAAAACGAGTCAAGAACAGAAATAAGACGCAAACCATTTATACGAGCTGTTCTCGTGTTAGATGAGACATGCTCGTATTAATGGTACAGTTCGCGTCTTATTTTTCCTTGTTTAAATGGCCCTATTGTGTCAACTCATCAGTTATGTAAACCTATTGATATAAGGCTTGTCCTTACTACTTTCAAAATCAAGTCCCTGAGGGGCTTCGCACCCGAGTGGTTCTTAAATTTTCCTGTGCAAGTTGTAATGTTTGTTATGTTAGTGTAACCAGCCTACATTTCTCCACACGAGTGCGCGAGCACTTACTTTCCGACAGGTCTTCGAACGTTTTTAGACAACTGCAGAGTTTAGAGTCTTGTCGAACATCCTGCACACCGGATTGCTTCGAGATCTTGGACTCTGCAGCTACTAAGTACCAAGTTAAGCTTAAATAATCTATGTTCATAAAATGGGAGAAACGCGACCTCAACCAGCTGGTGAAACACGTAAACCTGACTCTCTCCCTGTAAGTAGCTAAGCGTTACTAATTTTAAACTTTTTAGTACGCAATATTGCCAACGCAATGTAACGAACTTTGTAACATCGCGCGCGATTCATGAATTCAACGGCGGTTTCAAAAGAAGATAACGGATGTACTGTCGAAACATGTCTGGTAAGTTAAAGAAAGTTGTTTTGTTTATGCAGCTATTTATATTGTTGCTGCTATCTAGATCTTTTAACTTCCTATTTACACGTTTTATGGAGGAAATGTTTGTGTTCCTGTTCACTGTGTTTTTTCACTGGCGCTCATTTTCACCTTGGTAGCCGCTAGCATTTCTCATGTTTTCCCCGCTGCTATATATTAAATTTTCAATTTTTTCTTCCAACGAAATTGCTCTCCATTGTTATTTATTTCTCGCTTTAGCTTTTCCCCTGTTTTCCAAGTTAATTTAGACATAAAACTTTGGTGGAAAAAAGGCCCTTTTTGTTGTTGTTGTTTTTTTTCCCTCTTAAAGTCCGGAAGGCCACGTGATTTACCGCCGAAACGAGCGGGGTGCTGGAAATGCAAAATTTCACCTGACTCCTGACTCCCTTCCCCCTCCTCGAGCTCCCAGCGTCTGTAAGTACGGGAGGTCGTACGCAGACGTCATACCCGAATTTTATCGGACGGATAGATTACCAAGTTTTCTTAGCTAGCTTTAGCTATAGGGCTCCGCTCGCGCGTGCGTGGAGCTCCGCAATAAATATCGAAAAAATCTGAAAATATGTCTTCTACATTGAAGTCTCCGGGGGTTTATATTTTGGAATTGCATTTAATAGATAATACCATATTCAGTCTCAAAAATACGAGATAAGGCCGGGCTTCTTCCTTGATCATTTTAATTTTATTACTCTTCATAACTTTTTGTCTGATGATTTTAATACTGCATGAGTTGATTCTGTTAAACGGTAAAAATTTCCATGAAATTTATTGTCCGTACAAAGAGATCCCATTTTCAGTAAACTCTATAAAGATTTTATGTTTGGAGGGATTGTATTGCCACGAACTTTGAGGGAAATGTCAGGCAATATTATAATTTTTACATTGAAAAAAGATACTATTCCTTCTGCCTTTCCTTAGGTAGTACCTCCATGACGTGTCTTCGAGGCCCCTGTTAACGTTGAAATCTTTAATGTAGGTTTCTGGCAAAATGCCCACTAACCCCTCCGCAAAGCCAATATTTTCCCCTAAGTCAGAAGTAAGTTTTAACGTTGAGTTAGGTGAGGAGTAGGTGGGCAGTTTCCTTGCCTAAATATATTGTTCCGGAAACTTTTAAACATCTATGATTTAATTTTGAGGTCAAATTTCATCTTGTTTAAATTGGAATCTCTACCGAGGGAATAGCACTAGAAACGTTAGCTTTTGATGTCGTTTTGCGGTGTAAGCTATCACAAGTCAACTAATATTTATGCCTCACAATCGAAATTAGAAAGGTGTATGTCCCTTTTGAACATTGCCATTCCTGTTAAGGTAAGAAATATGAGTAGCAGTATTTTTCCGTTGCTGTATCGCAGTATACCGCAGTAACAGAGTAAAAACGTGACCATGTGTAAAAAATATTTGTAAAATATCGAGTTATCGTATACAAACCTTCACATGCGCAGGAACCAATGACCCTTTTGGACATGATCGCAAAACTTGAAGCGAGGAAGTTACGAAACAAGCCAGAAATGCTGTGAACTTGAACATGATTTCGTCTGAGTATGTTTCAAAAAACTGAAGGTGAAAGAACAACCTTTTTATCCATAATAAATGTTAATGGGATTTAGTCTCAGTAATTTTAATTAATTTGTTTTCACCCTGGAGCATTAAAATGCGCCAGGTGTGAAAACAAATTTTCTGAGAGTTGGTTTAGGAAAAAGGCTGACAAAATAGAGATTTAGAAGGTCTTGAATTTTCCATTGTGCACCTGGTATTTTTGAATTAATGAAGAGTAGCACGCAATGACCATTGTTGCGAAAATTTCCGTTTTTATCTACTGAACTTTTAAGTCGTCGAGACTTATTTATAACGTCTAATTTGAAGTCGTCTGTTAAGTGCGTCTGAACAGCTCACTTAACACGGTGAGGGTAAAAGGAGGAATGAGTTTGCGGAATGGCATGTGGCATGGCTTGCGGAATGACATAATTATGCGAAATGTAATATATGCAGAATGACTCAGAGAAATGAATTAAACTGAAAAATGCTCTCTTTTTGGGAGAGGGACTCTCGCAACCAAAAGAGCTTTACGTTAAATACTTTCTTAGAGAGATCGAGACTCTTTCACTTCACAGTTCTTCTATGTCGTTTCACAACTTCTCAGTAAACTTCTTTCTAACAGCGTCTTTCTTCAAACTTGGATCTTGCTCTCCTGTAGTTCCCTTTCTCTAGAAATCTACATCTTAGGAGCTCTCTTACTCTTTACTTGCTTGGTCATCGCTAATAGGTTTACATTAATGATAATGCGCAGAAGACGTTCTTATTAACACACGATTATCTCGTAACCTAAAATTTCTTGGAAAAGCTTTTCTTCATTTCTGAAGCAGGATAACCACTAAAGAACACTAACTATAAAGTTCAGTAAAAGAAACACACTTTTGTACAGTTACTTTAAAGTTGCTCGTATCTTTGAAGCTAAATCTCAAAGGTACAGTGAAACTTTGTTCATGGTAAACAAAGGACAACTGATCCCATATTCATAAATGTGACAACAAGATAATTGGATAGGACAAAACTTCCTAACCTTAATCAAACAATCCCTAAAAACAGAAAACCTTTTCAACAAAAGCTAGCCTTAAATCTTAGGGTTCCTTCGTTAATTACTAAAAACGTTTATTTTAAAGAGAAGCGTCAAGTTTGGAGACATGATGTCCCACTCTCCAAAACCTTCTTAACTTACGAACTCACGGAAGAGGAAATTCGTAAGTTAGTTACAGTCTTCAGATCATTGAATGTACAAGAATGATTTGTAGGTACATTTGGGTACAAATGGGAGTTACCCTTGGTTAGTAACCAACTAAAGAATGGTGCACATGTTCTGATTCCGTGCCGCAGGAAAGCACACTATTTAGAATTTATTCTTCTTAGTATTAGTTCATTGTGCTTTATATCTTATTTTATTCTTATTAATGGACAATTAAAATGTGCCAGAACCTAAAAAGCTTTCTACAACGATATATGTCGGTATATATTTCAACTTGATCATATAAAATTTGTCAGCAATCAATAAAATGTTTCATACTTTACCGTTTTATGTTTTAAATGTTTTTTATTGATATTATGTTTTACTTATTCCGTCAAGGATACATTTAGCTAAATCAAGTTAGTTATCGGTTTTACTTTAAAAATAATTGGGAAGATATATAGAACTTTCATTAACTTATAATATTTTTCATAAATCGGGGAGATACGTCCCGTGACAGTAGACTTATCCTTACGGCAGGAAGGGTGATAACTGATAGGAAAAATAAAGAAAGAAAACAAAAATAAAATGGTGAATAATATTTGCCCGATATTTCGGTTTGCCACACAAACCTTCTTCACCCCTATACATTATGTACTTCGAAAGAGGACGATGTGTAAACCGCTGATCATTCCTTAACTCGAAAATCCAACTCAAAATCCTAAACCGAATCCTAACTTGAAAATCCAACTCGAAATCCTAACACGTTAAAGAGGTATCCTCGTTTTCACCGGAGGCCCAGCCTGGTGGGCGGACTGTGATTTCATGTTTTTCTTTTTCTGCGCGAGTTGGCATACTGGGAATTTCGCTAGCGATTTCATTGCCTCAATGGTTCTTTGGGTTGTTTGCCACCAAGAGAGGATAAAGGGGACAGAGAAGGCATCCTCCATCCACACCCTATTCCATAGGTAATTCGTCTCGAGTTATTTTTAAGACCACAGATCCCAAGGGGGATTAGACAACAGCCAATCACATAGCGCGAATTTGTTCCGCGTGGATGACTTACTCTCAGAGCCACGCGTCCTTCACGAATTGAGGCAGAAAAAAAAATGGCGGAAGACGCGGAGAGCAATATTGCTATTCGTTTTGTCGACGAGAACGACTAAAGAGAGATTTCTGCTAAAGCTGTGTCAGCGAAACGGAAATTAAAAAAGAATCGCCCTTCCTCTCTTGTATAGAGCTAACAGTACAGCAGGGAAATCCTTAACACAGTGAATATTCTCTCGAGGAGCTGCCTTCTAGCACCTACTAGAACAAAACTCAGGAATGTAGCAATTAATTTCGGCCCCTGTTGACTGGCTCGAACATAAGTTGGGGGACTCGGGCCCCTGGGCCACTCCCATAAATCCGCAACAGTTTATATATGATTGTTCATGAAACGAAAACAAAACATTCATACCAACAACTTCCCAACACCGCGTTTTTATTCATTTCTGTCTCAGGTTTCCTTTAACTGAACAAATTTACTGACATATGCCAACCATAGTAATGCTTCATTTAGTATAATAATTAGTGTCTCTTGAAGGAATTCAGCCTAATCAATAGCACAGAAGGAGTTGACTAATAATCTTTGATCAGTTACCATCTCAAACTAGTGTCTTCTGACACAGTATCACCGGGGCATCAGTTACATGACTTCCCAGTTCGCAGGAGAAGTCATTCCACTTTTTCCCCAATCGGTGGTTCCCATACATTTGGACACAATTTTCGGAACCGCCGGCATTATTTGGTTCTCCGCCAGCCCAGATCGAGTAGCTTCCATCTGCTGGAGTGTTGTCAATCCAATAGAATTTTCCGTCGGCCTTTCTTCGTTGGATTCCGATCCATGCACCCCATTTTGTGAATGTATTTTGGCTTTGTATCAAGCTGAAAATGAAGTTGTTTTGATTTTCTGACTTGATTATGGCCAGATCTCCCCCCAGATTTTGACAGTGTTGGCGAGCATCGCTCTGTTTCAATGTCGGGGTATCTTTGACGTAATAACACGAGGATCCATTATTAACCCATCCGGCTGGACAGTTTGACCCCTCTACAAAGAACAAATACAGCAACCTGTTACAGTGGACCCTTTCCCTTGGGACACCTTTATTTAAGAGACACCTCCATTCAGGGGACACAAAATTTGGTTCCGGAGAAAAATGCTCACATAATCTTTGTATCTGTTACCGCTATTGAAGGGACACCTCTAATCAGGGGAAAGGGACACTTTTTCTGGGTCTGGAAACCTGGGTTTTTAACCTCGATTTAGGAGGTAAAAAAAACTTTGATAAATTGAAGGGTACACTAGTCACAATGACCACAGCTTTCATGAACTATCTCACTTAAATGCTTAGAACTTAAAAGCGCTATATAAATATTTTATTATTATTATTATTAAATCGATGTACTGCTTTTGTGGGGATTCAACACAAAAAAGGCGGGGAGATAAGTTAATAATGATTTTTATACATTGATGTAGCTGTTTGAATTACCGTGTGGCCCGAAATTTTTGCGGGAGTTTATTTTTGCGGATTGGTGATTTTTGTGTTTTGCGGGAACTAATTTTTACGGTAAGGATAGATTGGTTTTTCTTGCTGAGAATTAATTTTTGCGATTTTCGGAAAGTACCCAGTACCCGGCATTCATAGCATTTCTAGTATAGACTAGTAAAACCAGTATTTCATTGACAATGTATAAGAGACAAGTTGTAATTGATGTCCAATATGTGTGCATTATCAGTTTTCCTGTGCTCCTAAACTAGCTAGAAAGTATGAGATTGACCATTGATCGCGATCTAGTAAATCAATGAACTGGTCAGCGAACAGCTTGTAAATCACGGTAGGTACTTCATGTATGGGGACATGTATTGTACTGCTTTTACCTACTTTACTTATACCTTCACTCCTTCTGCTTGGTTCCTTGTTGCCTTGAAGCTTTGTTCTCTGTTAACTTGTTGCTTTGTCTCCTTGTTTCCTAGTTACTCTGTTTCCTTGTTACCGTGTTACTCTGTTACCTTGTTACCTTGCTACTCTGTTACCTTGTTACCTTGTTACTCTCTTACCTTGTTACCTTGTTATTCTGTTACCTTGTTACCTTCTTACTCTGTTTCCTTGTTTCCTTGTTACTCTGTTTCCTTGTTGCCTTGTTACCTTGTTACTCTGTTTCCTTGTTTCCTTGTTACTCTGTCTTGTTACCTTGTTACTCTGTTACCTTGTTACTCTGTTACCTTGTTACCTTGTTACTCTGTTACCTTGTTACCTTATTACCTTGTTACTTTGTTACCTGGTTACTCTGTTACTTTTTACCTTGTTACCCGGTTACCCTGTTACCTTGTTACCATGTTACCTTGTTACCCTGTTACCTTGTTACCCTGTTACCTTGTTACCCTGTTACCTTGTTTCCCTGTTACCTTGTTGCTCTGTTACCTTATTAATCTGTTACCTTGTTACTCTGTTTCCTTTTTCCCCTGTTACCGTATTTCTCTGTTACTTTGTTACTCTGTTACCCTGTTACTCTGTTACCTTGTTACGTTGTTACTCTGTTACATTTTTACCCTGTTACCTTGTTACTCTGTTACCTTGTTACCGTGTTACCTCGTTACTTTGTTAATCTGTTAGTCTGTTACCTTGTTACTCTGTTCCCTTGTTACCTTGTTACTATGTTACCGTGTTACCTTGTTACTCTGTTACCGTGTTACCTTGTTACTCTATTCCCTTGTTACCTTGCTACTCTGTTACCTTGTTACCGTGTTACTCTGTTACCTTGTTACCGTGTTACTCTGGTACCTTGTTCTCTTGTTACTTTGTTAATCTGTTAGTCTGTTACCTTTTTACTCTGTTTCCTTGTTACCTTCGTTTTACCTCGTTAGTCTGTTACCTCTTTGCTTCGTTACCTTGTTACTCTGTTACCTATTACCTCAAGGTATCTAGGAATGTGTGTAGACGTAATACGTCACATGCACACTTGTCAGAGTTAAAGCGCACTTGCTATTGAGATGCCTAGGACGCCGAGATCAGTCAGTACCAGATTGTGGTAATGTTTAACTTCCCCCGCGGCCTTGTTTGACGGTTTGTATGGTATGGCGTGGCAGTGCGTAAAGAACTGTAAAAGAAAAAAAAATGCGATATATATGTCTAGGAACGATCTTGTTAGCAAATTCTCTTCGCAATTTTCGCAAAGAAAATAATTCACCGAAAATTTTGTGAGACAATCACTTGCATATATCGCAAGAGTAGAAAAACCAATAAAACAAAATTCTAGACTACCTGCTACCTAAAAACACTGAAAAGGTAAGACATATCGCAAAAATAGCAAAAATGACAAATTTAAAAAATTCTAGACTTAGAAAGAAAAATGGCCAAGAAGAGCCTCCAAGAGCCCTCAAATCTTGCAAAAATCGCAAAACTAACAATGATTTTTCTTGCTATGTGAAGAGATTGAGTACTTGAAATATCGCAAAAGCAAGAATAAAAAAATAAAATAAATTCTAGGCCAAGAAGGTGAATTCTTTTCACAAATTCTTTTTTTTTTTCGATTTATGGCAAAATTTGAGGCCTTCTCGTGGCCCTCCATTGTCTTAATCTTTTCACATAGCAAGAAAAATTCTTGTTAATTTTGCGATCTTTGCGAAATTTGCGGACTTCTCGAAGTCCTTCTAGGCCTTTCTTCTTTCTAAGTCTTGAATTTTGTTAAATTTGTTATTTTTGAAATTTTTGCCATATTTGTTACTCAATCTTTTCACACACCAAGCAATTTCCTCGTGTTGTGCGATTGTCAACGATTGTCTCGATAACAGATAAGGTATGATTCAAAAACGAATGCAATAAAACTTCAGCCTCACTTGTGTGGTATTGATTAAAAGTATCCAAACGTTATACCCGTTGTAGCACCCTGCCGCGTTGTTAAGTCGTTTTACAAGGGCGCCTTAAGAAATTTCGCTTACATTTTTTGGAAAATCATGATAATAGTATAAAAGCCAAAAGAAAGTATAAAAGGCTTCAGTTACTATAGCATTGAGACACAAAGCCTTCGTCATTGTCCAAGCACTGTTCTCAGAAAAGGAAACTTTTGTTTGATTTCCGTCAAAGAGAAAAAATGTACCAAATAAAGCTGATTGCTGCTAATTACCATAAACGAAAAACGAATTGTAATGCAAACCATTCAACAACGACCATACTCCAAAAAAACGCGTCCAATCGGGAAAAACCAATTGCGACTTGTCATACAAAAATAAACTAAAATTTAGACAACAGGGTAACAGAGTAACAAGGTAACAAGGTAACATAGTAACAAGGATAGAAGGTAACAGAGTAATAAGGTAACAGAGTAACAAGGTAACAGAGTAACAAGGTAACAAAGTAACAGAGTGACAAGGTAACAGGTGACAGAGCAACAAGGTAACAGGTGACAGAGTAATAAGGTAACAAGGTAAGAGAGTAACAAGGTTAGAGGGTAACAGAGTAATCAGGTAACAGAGTAACAAAGTAACAGGTAACAGAGTAACAAGGTAACAGAGTAACAATGTAACAAGGAAACAAGCTAACAGAGTAACAAGGTAACAAGGTAACAGTAAAAAGGGAACAAGGGAACAAAGTAACAAGAGAACAAGGTAACAAGATAACAGAGTAACAAGGTAACAAGGGAAGAGAGTAACAAGGTTAGAAGGTAACAGAGTAACAAGATAACAGAGTAACAAGGTAACAGGGTAACGAGGTAACAGAGTAACAAGGTAACAAGGTAACAAGGAAACAGAGTAACAAGGTAACAAAGTAACAAGATAACAAGTTAACAGAGTAACACAGTAACAAGGTAACAGAGTAACAAGGTAACACAGTAACAGAGTGACAACGTAACAGAGTAACAAGGTAACAAAGTAAAAGAGTAACAAGGTAACAGAGTAACAGAGTAACATGGTAACAGAGTAACAAGGTAACAGGGTAACAGGGTAACAGGGTAACAGGGTAACAAGGTAACAGAGTAACAAGGTAACAGAGTAACAAGGTAACAGGGTAACAAGATAACAGAGTAACAAGGTAACAAGGTAACAAGGTAACAGAGTAACACGGTAACAAAGTAACAGAGTAAAAAGGTGACAAGGTAACGGAGTAACAAGGAAACAAGGTAACAAGGTAACAGATAAACAAGGTAACAGAGTAACATGGTAACAGAGTAACAAGGTAAGAGGGTAACAAGGTAACAGAGTAACAAGGTAACAAGGTAACAGAGTAACAGGGTAACAGTGTAACAAGGTAACAGAGTAACAAGGTAACAAAGTAACAGAGTAACAGAGTAACGAGGTAACAAGGTAACAGATAAACAAGGTAACAGAGTAACATGGTAACAGAGTAACAAGGTAACAAGGTAACAAGGTAACAGAATAACAAGGTAACAAGGTAACAGAGTAACAAGGTAACAAAGCAACAGAGTAACAGAAAAACAAGGTAATAGAGTAACACGGTAACAAGGTAACAGAGTAACAAGGTAACAAGGTAACAGAGTAACAAGGTAACAAGGTAACGGAGTAACAAGGTAGCAAGGTAACAAGGTAACAGAGTAACAGAGTAACATGGTAACAGAGTAACAAGGTAACAGGGTAACAAGGTAACAGAGTAACAAGGTAACAAGGAAACAGAGGTAACAAGGTAACCGGGTAACAAGGGTAACAAGTAACAGAGTAACAAGGTAACAAGGTAACAAAGTAACAGAGTAACATGTAACAAGGTAACAGAATAACAAGGTAACAGGGTAAAAAGGTAACAGAGTAACAGGGTAACAAGGTAACAGAGTAAAAAGGTAACAGGGTAACAAGGTAACAGAGTAACAGGGTAACAGAGTAACAAGGTAACAAGGAAACAGAGGTAACAAGGAAACAAGGTAACAAGGTAACAGAGTAACAAGGTAACAAGGTAACAGAGTAACAGGGTAACAAGGTAACAAGATAACAGAGTAACAAGGTAACAAGGTAACAAAGTAACAGAGTAACAAGGTAACAAGGTAACAGGGTAACAAGGTAACAGGGTAACAGGGTAACAAGGTAACAGAGTAACAGGGTAACAAGGTAACATTGTAACAAGGTAACAGAGTAAAAAGATAACAGAGTAACAAGGTAACAGAGTAACAGAGTAACAGAGTAACAGAGTAACAAGGAAACAGAGGTAACAAGGAAACAAGGTAACAAGGTAACAGAGTAACAAGGCAACAAGGTAACAGAGTAACACGGTAACAAGGAAACAGAGTAACTAGGAAACAAGGAAACAGAGCAACAAGTTAACAGAGAACAAAGCTTCAAGGCAACAAGGAACCAAGCAGAAAGAGTGAAGGTATAAGTTAAGTAGGTAAAAGCGGTACAATATAAGTTAAGTAAGTAAAATCGGTACAATACATGTCCCCATACATGAAGTACCTATTAAATCAAATCATGTCACCTCAATGAGTTGACACATGAGCCCGCGATATGGTCATATGATACTGGTCAGTGGCTATCCTGTTTTGACAGCTATCAATTGATCATATTGTGAATGTCCAATATAAAAGATGTGGATTTGTCAAGACACGCCTGAGACACCCCTCCCTTCCTTTTGATAGTCTCCCCTACCCTACCCATACAATCTGTAGACGCGTACGTACGCTCGGTCAATCACGTGAAAACCGAACGAAAAGAGGTTGACCATATTCTGTGAGTATGGGGTTCTGTCCCACGCACGCTTGGCGCGCGTAGGAGCCCCGCTATAACGTGACTTATTTGACCTAACCGGAAATTCCAATATATACATTTTTTTGACGTGGTGATCTACAATGAGCACATTCCTTTCCTGTAAGAATCGACATTAGCCGTCACATTTTAAACCGAAAAAAGTGCCATTGATAGCTGTAGAGACGTCTTTAGTCAATGGATGTACACACACGCACTGTAGCTACACACCGCAGACAGATTTGCAATCACGTTTTGGAAGGGAATAAACTCGTCAAAAGGTTTAAACTTTAACAAAAAGTGAAGAAAAACCACAAAAGGTACTCATCATGGCATCTTTTGATTGAGACGATGAAAAAGCTTAGTACGCTAGCTTCAAACACATCTTCATTTTTATGATGACCGCCTTTGCTTAGCATGATTTATTGTTACCAAGTTAATTTTTATAGCGTTTATCACCATAACAACGAAAATCCCTAGGGGAGTACTCTCTTATTTGCCTTATAGGTATTGATCTGAAATAAGGTCAAGGGTCAGGATTTGGAGAGCCGGAAAACACACCCCCCACCTCGGATACCCGTCGGATTTGTCAGTTAATAATATGATAGCGTTCAGTTTGGTCTAAAATAGGGTCTAGGGTCAGGATTTGAAGAGTTGGACGGCACACCCCCACAACGAATTGCTAGAAATACCGCTCCGGAGAAAAAAATCGAAGGTATGTTATAAACTGGGCCAGCCTTCGGCCAGCCCAGTAAAAATGTTATTTTTTTAGCTTTATCAGATAATGATGAACACATGGTAATGAAGCAAAATGTAATCAAGGATTCGCCTAAAGCTGACCATATAGCAACAATGCAAAAATGGCTGCTAGATTAATATTCTTTTGTTTAAATTAAAATTAGCCTGACTAGCCTCGTTCTCCAGTACAAAATTCAAAAGAAACATTATCTCTAGCGAGGCTAGTCAGGCCAATTTTAATTTAAACAAATGAATATTAATCCATGCAGGCTTTAGTTTGTGATTTACCGTTGATCCCAGGATAAACTAACATTTCATCTTTCAGGCATAAATTTAGGGGACTCGGGCAAAAGAAAGGAGGAACAAACTGAGACGTTAACAACTGGTAGAATTTTTCTTTGATGGTGGCCTGGACGTTGGAATTATGCGCATCTCCATCATAGTAATGATATTGCAGGTTTGACAACTTTATCGATGAAGGATTCACCCCAGCTGCATTAAGAGAAAAACAAGGAAAAACAATGAGAAAATCCTTATATTATGCGGATCCAGTTGATCATTCAAATCAAGCATTGTTTTAATTGAGCGTCATCCTGGCTTTTATATGATCTTACTGGTTAGTTCAATTTGTCAGTTACAGTGTCTTATTACATTATCACGAATAATATACATATGTATAACTGTCACTCAAAAAGGTAAACTGTTTTTGTTGCTGACACAGTATAGGATCGTACGATGAAGAGATGGACCCACTCAGATTTATAAAAAAAACACGCGAGTGCTGGTTTTCATCCGGTCCTACTTGTTGAATGCGTTGTTCGGTAAACAATTTGTGTTTGAGCAAAGCTGTTTACTACAAATTTTCTAGAATTGAAATTCTCAAAATAAATTTGATGAAGGTTTTTCTCTTAAAAAATTCAACTTAGTTGATTCACGGTTTCTTTATCAGTTAAGTAAATCGGACGTATCTTTTCACGATATCAAGATATGTGCATCTGATCAAAATGGGGAACCCCTATTGGCTAATAGCCTTCTAAATAATTAATGAACCTTAAAAATATAACCAAAGCACTCGAGGTTATTAAGAGCACTTACCAGAACAGTTTGGCCAGGGTAAAGTTGAAACATAAGAGAGCACCGAAAAGTAACTCCAATCTCCAGCCGAACAATAGTAGAGCAAAGGCGGGTCAAAGTTGAAGTCGGTGCCAGTACGACACATAACTGCACAAATTTTATTAGTGTTGTTTGGATTAGTGCAGACCAGGGCACCACCTTGGGGTGGCGAATAAAAAGGACACTGTTTTTCTGTAAAGGAAGCAATCGCAACATAACTTTCATCAATGAATATTTAACCTGTGTGAGTTTACAGGGTAGAAATAAAAGTGACAACGTAAACTCAGCCAGGATAATGGTAGTGAAACAATTGTCCGGGCCACTGCTAATTTTTATTCTTTTGGAAAGGTACAGTCTAAGCTACAACCAGTTGCAAAAACGATGAGACACTCCCACGGAAAAACGACCTTTCTTGCTTCAAATCACTCCTGGTCACAGGTCTGTAAAATATAATACTGACCTCCCTCCTCCCTCCCATTCAAAGTTGTTCCTCCAAGTTTTGAGTATGGTCTTGTATTGCTAGCAACTTTGATAAGGGGTGGAGGGGGGATCACAAGCACAAGATCATGGACAGGCCATTTATGCCAAAATACGGTACAGTGTCTCAAGTACTTTTGCAACTGGTTGTCTCATTTAAGTTTTACTTCAACAAGCGATTTCCACGTCTTAAATTCCCAAAACGAAGACTATAGCGACATAAATAGATAGAATGACACTTTGCGTTGCTTTTCCCAGCCGATACATCATTGTCATTGATACAAACTGCCTAAAAAAGCGCTTAAGAATGTAGTGACTTGTAAATTTTCCCTCAGTTTTGTTGTAACGCATGCGCATTATCTACCGTGACATAGCTTAAAGTTTCGGCGTTGTAATTAAACTCTGAGAAGCGCGAATGCATAATAACAGCATAATTTTCCTTTTCTTGGTATTTAGAGATACTATAGTTGCGAATAAAGCTGCCAAACCTTCATTTTCACCCCTGTATCTGTAACGCAATGATATTTGATATGCAATGGCGTTATGTAATCGGTATACCGCGTGACGTATTTTTCACCATCACTGTTAAAGTAAAACCGTTTAGTTTTTTTCATCTACTACGGTGAAAATAAGATGGTTATTTAAGTCCGTTAGAGCTAGAGAGCAGAAAAAGTTGTGTGCTATGTTAATTTCTATTTTCTGACGGTCTACCATCATCCACGGTCTACCACTCTGCAACAGTAAGAAATAGAATATATTATTATATTTATCTCATATGATGGTAGACCGTGTAGACCGTGTAGACCGTTGAGGCACGTAAATTCCTGAAATTGCTGTGCTGGAAAATTGCTTTTCTTGGGGATAGTGTCTTCCTTTTTGCAAAGAAATAAATTTCCTTACCAAGTACAGAACTACAAAGCCACGTTATATGCGAGCTCTCGCGACTATGTTACTGAAATACGCGCGTGAATTTTCATTATCTGATGCCTATAGCCACACTCGGGCTTCAAAATCGAAACAAAGTTGTAAGACGACCAAAGAGTAAACACAAATCCAAACTTGTGTTAAGTAAAGTAAAGTCGCCAACAGCTGCTTTTTAGCGTAACTTTTCTTTCCTGTAAATGGCAGGCGATAAAAAAGGAACCACGTCCACGTACTTATCGGAAACAACAACAAAAAGCTATCTCCTTGATCTAGCGGGGAATCTTACGTCACTTTCCTTCCATAAATAAACATTTTTTAAACGAGTTCGAAGAAAATATATTATTTTTCGCATCTCTGTAGCGTTTTAGGACCAAAAACCCCTTTCGTTGCAGCTTACATAAGATGGTGTGGCATCTTTTGCCACTTGCTTCCTTTAAAAGCCCAATTTCTTGCATATTAGCACATAAACAAAAGGGCCAACAACTGCCATTTTTGTCTCGCCATTTTTAAACAGGCAAACCGACAAAAATGAAATACTGTTTTTTATAACCACCTCCTTAGGTGCTAAGAGTGCACCACGTTTTACCCCGTTTAATAATCGTGCACCACGGCTATAGGGGTATGAAGGACTCAGACAACCAGTTGCAAAAACGATGAGACACTCCCACGGAAAAACGACCTTTCTTGCTTCAAATCACTCCTGGTCACAGGTCTGTAAAATATAATACTGACCTCCCTCCTCCCTCCCATTCAAAGTTGTTCCTCCAAGTTTTGAGTATGGTCTTGTATTGCTAGCAACTTTGATAAGGGGTGGAGGGGGGATCACAAGCACAAGATCATAGACAGGCCATTTATGCCAAAATACGGTACAGTGTCTCAAGTACTTTTGCAACTGGTTGTAGCAGTGTTAACTCGTTAATCTCGGCCTTTCTTTAAAATATTCCCATTTCATAGTTTCCCAAGTAGTTTAAGATGCTTGTCTCCTTTCATGCTGTCCATCCAACTGACGTCAAGAAGCTTTGCGTCGCATATCGTGCCCTTTTTTCACTTGATTAGTCAGAGAATAGGATTCATTCAGCATACACCCTCTCCTTCTCATCCTTCTCATCATCTTTTCCTGTCGAACGCACTTCTCGAATTTGTAATAAATAGTTAACTAAGCAAGTGCATGATGGAAAGGACAAATACTACGGATAGATTTGTTTTAAATGTTGTGTAGAGCGAACACATAATTACTTATGATTGCGTTAAAATATCTGTAGCAACTTACTTTTCAACGTTATCCTGAATGTACAGTTCTTGTTCGTGTTTCCAGAACTGTCAGATGCGGTATATACAATTTCGTAGGAACCAGGAACGCTGAATTCATCTCCATTTTGTCTGTTTGAGATAATTGTCGGTTGGTCGCCTGAATTGTCGGTGAAAGTTGCCCGCTTCCAGTTTACTCTGATCCGATCGCCTTGTATCTCTTCTATCGTAATGTCTTCAGGACAATAGGTCAAAGTTGGTGGTTCAATATCTGTGGTGAGATAGCATTGTAGAAGATAATACATTGTACATAGATTTAGCCAGGGCTAAAAGCGAAGCTCTTTTTTATATTAATAGTTTCCTTAAAGAAAATATAAAATCGAGTAATGCTGAAGACAAGGTGAAGACAACGGGAACGGTTAAAACCAAATAGAGCTAATTAGGCGAGCAAAAAAAAAAACAACAACAACTTTGCACGTGCAGCACTCGTTTTTTTTCTATTTGGTAAAAAAAACCCTACTTTGCACGTGCAGCACACTTTTGTGTACATTACCCGTTGTTTTGCACGACCGAAACGTGAAACTTCTTTTAACTTCTAACCCTACCCTTTTCTTCAATTACATCAACCGTCAACACCCTAGTATACACTTTACAATGGAGCGGGAAACTGACCATGTTCTACTTTTCCTAGATGTTCTAATCAACAACATCGCCTCACACCGAAGTGTGACCACCGTTTTCCTGAAAAAAACTTTCATAAGTTTGTTCACCAGTTACCTGAGTTTCACCCCCTTTACCTAAAAATTGGAGTTAACCAAAACCTTGATTGATAGAACCTTTAAGATAAACACTTGGATGGGGTTCCACGCTGATCTCCAAAAATTGTGTGTCATTTTACGGAGGAATCTCTTCCCTGAGCCTTTCCCTGAGAACCTTATAAACAAATATATTTCTAAATATATTCAGACAGTTGTCAAGAGAGGGAAAACACAACCTCATTCAGGAGTCGAGCCCCAGGAAACACCTAAGTTTTATTTTAAAATCCCTTATGTTGGGCATTTCTCAGTCACGGCACAGAGATCATAGAAGTATCCGCAATCAATTATCATCGATTATCATGCAATTATGTAAACTCGTCAATGTCAACATGTGTAAACTGTAATGTAATGTAAACTCATCAATCAACTCATTAGGGCCATTTATACGAGGAAAAATAAGACGCATCTTACATGGGGGTAAGAAGCGAACTTTCCGTATAAACGACACATTTCGTCTAAAATAAGACGCGGCTTAGCTAAGACGCGTCTTATTTTAGAACAGCCCTTAACACCTGTTCTTAGATGATACGCGTCTTAGCTAAGACGAGAAAAACTTCGTATAAATGACCTTCGCGTTCTTACATAAGACGCGAACGCATAGTAGGCATGCGTTAATTTTTGACGCCACGTTGGATCGCGTTGCTACGGGCAACATTCACATGAAAACGAGTCAAGAACAGAAATAAGATTCAAACCATTTATATGAGCTGTTCTCGTGTTAGATAAGACATGCTCGTATTAATGGTACAGTTCGCGTCTTATTTTTCCTTGTTTAAATGGCCCTATTGTGTCAACTCATCAATTATGTAAACCTATTGATATAAGGCTTCTCCTTACTACTTTCAAAATCAAGTCCCTAAGGGGCTTCGCACCCGAGTGGTTCTTAAATTTTCCTGTGCAGGTTGTAATGTTTGTTATGTTGGTGTAACCAGCCTACATTTCTCCACACGAGTGCGCGAGCACTTACTTTCCGACAGGTCTTCGAACGTTTTTAGACAACTGCAGAGTTTAGAGTCTTGTCGAACATCCTGCACACCGGATTGCTTCGAGATCTTGGACTCTGCAGCTACTAAGTACCAAGTTAAGCTTAAATAATCCATGTTCATAAAATGGGAGAAACGCGACCTCAACCAGCTGTTTAAACACGTAAACCTGACTCTCTCCCTGTAAGTAGCTAAGCGTCACTAATTTTCAACTTTTTAGTACGCAATATTGCCAACGCAATGTAGCGAACTTTGTAACATCGCGCGCGATTCATAAATTGAACGGCGGGTTCACTGAAGATAACGGATGTACTGTCGAAACATGTCTGGTAAGTTAAAGAAAGTTGTTTTGTTTATCCGGCTACTTATATTGTTACTGCTGTCTAGATCTTTTAACTTCCTATTTACACGTTTTATGGAGGAAATGTTTGTGTTCCTGTTCACTCTGTTTTTTTACTGCCGCTCATTTTCACCTTGGTAGCCGCTAGCATTTCTCATGTTTTCCCCGCTGCTATATATTAAATTTTCAAGTTTTTCTTCCAACGAAATTGCTCTCCATTATTAATTATTTCTCGCTTTAGCTCTTTCCCTGTTTTCCAAGTTAATTTAGACATAAAACTTTTGTGGAAAAAAGGCCTTTGTTGTTGTTTTTTTTTTCCCTCTTAAAGTCTGGAAGACCATGTGATTTATCGCCGAAACAAGCGGGGTGCTGGAAATGCAAAATTTCACCTGACTCCTGACTCCCTTCCCCCTCTTCGAGCTCCCAGCGTCTGTAAGGACGG